TAAGTGTAATTTGGTAATTGGCTTCTTATTTTTTATGGTCATGCTTTTATTTTGAATTAGAGTTAGCGCTGTTGACAGGAAGTTGTTGTTGCTATGGAAACAACGTGACGGAGATTAACGGAGAAAAGTCATATCTACATATAAAGACGGAGAAAGTAAACAATAACGTTTATGGTTAAGTGTTAGCACCCCCCGAAGAGGCACAAGCTCTTACGTTGATATTGGAGTTTTCAATAAATTCAATTTACTCCAACGAACGGATATTCGGGTACAGCCCTACTCCATTGTCATTCATGTGATTGATTCTCTGGGAAGCTTGGCAGGAGGACAGATTTATCTCTTGGCAGTGCATTCCCCCATCTCACTCTCTGATTGTCTCTCACCTAGTTATCTCCCCCCTCTCCTCACCCTATCTGTCTGTCTAAGTGGCTCAGTTTACGTGTGTCAGCAGGTGTTTGTGTGCAGAGGTTTGTGTGACCTTGCAGTAGTTTGGTGTGAAATGTGTGTTTTTGTGTGTACATTAGTGTGCCCCTGATGGAGGTGGACTTTCAGTGATGGCACCCCAACTCTTCTCCTCCACGTGAAAACAAGTGTGCGTGTGTGGAAGGGAGCTGCTGCCGTGGCATTTTGCTGTAAACTTGCTGATGCTCGCACACACCTAGTAGACACACGCACAAATGCACATGTACGTTTCACATGCACACACGGGCATACTCCCTCACTGCGCCTTTTTGAAGTATGCAGATAATTTATTCGTGTCATGATGCCTGATTTCCCATCTGCTACTGGGACCCTGAGCAGCTGGAGAGCTAGAAAGAGGGAGGGAGGCAAGGAGGGATGGAAGAGAGCGTGAGGGAGGGGAGGCAGCTGTAGAGGCTCCCAACAGCTGGTAACCAGTTGCCTGTCACAGAGCGGACTGGGGAGCAATGAGGAGAAGAAGGAGGAAGGGGAGAGGATTTAGTCTGCAGGAGGAAAAATGAGGTGTCAGCCGGTTTGTTTACCAAGGTTAGCTTGCAGGACGGGGGAGGGAAATGAAGCAACGGGGAGAGAGGGAGGAGGTGGTAGCCATGGATGGATGGACGGATGGATGGATGGACGGAGCCGCGCTTCCCCCCTGCTCTGTAATCTGCCATTACTGACAAATTCAACCCCCACACTGCAGTATTGACAGGGCAGCAGTGCGAGTGTTGCTGCGAAACATTTGCAGAAACATTTCACTAAGACTGATTCATATTAGATGTGAGCTTAGAGCTGAAGCCGTACATTGATTAGTCAATAAATCAATCAGCGAGTGATGATAATACTTTTCTTAGTCTTCTATGGCAGTAACTTGAATATCATTGGGTTAATCGACAATAAACGTAATTGTTAGTTGCTGCCCTAATTATGTTTTTCATATACTTTTAAAACCAAATTGCGGCTGCGAATGATTATTCCTTTGATTATTAAGTTGCTTTAGTTATCCTCTTTTTATTTTGTTTTTATTTGAGTTCCATTGAGACATATTCACATTTTTTTTTTGTCAACTATTTTTTTCCATTAGGTTCAATCTAAAGAGTTAATAAATGGTACAAAAAGAAATCAATAAAAAAGTTAGAAAATACCCCAAAAATAATAGACATATGAAAAGATAAATACATAATAAATGTATCCTAAGTCTATACAAGGTTATAGTGAAAGATGTCCATCACAACTTCCCGCTCCCAAGTTAAAAAAAACAAAGATATGAACTTATAATAGTCAGAAGATTCTCACATTTGAGATGCTGCTTTTTTTGATAAGGATGCTCTTAGTTAGACAATGAAACTACTATAATACATCTGTAAATAATAAAGCAATATATACTTCCACTTTTACTACTGTTACCTGGCTGCTATCACACTACTTTATACATGCTACACTTATGCAACAAAATAGTTTTACTGTTACTTTGTGTTGTCCTCCTGGATGTGCTTTTTTGTAAATGGTTGTGAAAATACTGAATGCACTCTTCCAATATCAGAGTAGCACGTGATAACAAAGGCCCTACGCAGCTGTGTATGTACCCGGATGTATGATTAGAAGAGCATCAGGGCACACTGTTTGAGGCATATGATAGCAAAAAATACACATGCGTTAATAGCGTTAAAATAATTAGTGGCGTAAAACATTTTTTATTATCGGTCTTGAGAAGCAGGAAGTTATCGGTATCGGTATCAGTTTCAAAAAACCAATATCGTGCATCCCTACTGCTTTCTATTCCTCCATCTTGTGACTGTGTAACTCCCTCTCTTGGATATCAGCATGTGAAGGACACTGTTCAGGAACTACTTCCATTCTTGAGAGGATAATAAATACATGTATTATGTTCAGTGTTGGGCAAGTTACTTCCAAAATGTAATATATTACATATTACTTATTACTCTCTTTTGAAAGTAATAAGTTCCATTACAATATTACTGTCTCTGAAATGTAATGAGTTACACTACTTTAGTTACTTTTGAGTTACTTTCACCAAAATAACCTCAAAAGAATGGCTAGGTATTTTAAATGCTAAAATGTAGTTTAGTGCAGCTCATTATACATCCAGTGAAGGGCAATGTGGTATAGCATAACAACTGTGTAGGCCCTTAAGGCTACTAACAACTTGTATTACACGGCTTAGTTGAATACTCGATTCTGATTGTAAATTCTTAACATGTGACACGTTGTTAATCCAGTACAGACCACTGTCGAGGACTATGATGAAGGTTGCTAAGGAGGATCCAGAAAGAGAGAGGAAAAGAGGTTAAAAGACGGAGCGCTGGACGTCAGATAAATCACCAGAAGAAGGCAGACAGGAAGTAAACAATAACAGGACACGGAATGGGCTCTGTAGTGTGTTTAGTATATGGCCGTGTACAGGCCCGGCTCCAGAACAAAATGACTCGGGGTGCCTCTGAGGTTACAGGGGGCGCAGCAGTAGGTTTACATGAGCAATAGTGTTGCCCGGCAACAGCAATGAAAATTAGCATTGATGGTCCTCAATGAACAGATTATGGCCTTTGTTATGTTTTGAAACCAAGCAAGTGAGAACATTTCAAGTGAGTTAAAAGTGCAATCCTGAAATATCTCATATAGTCCAAAGTGGACTGTGGCAAAGACAAGCACAAAAGCTTCAAAACTGGACTGATAAAACAAATGAGAACATATTGTAAATCAAGGCAAATATGATTTAAACCAGCTCATGGTTTGAAATGGCAAACATTGAAAAGCAAAAGTATTATTAAAACCATGTACTAGTGTTAATTTCGTTGACTAAATCTATGACGAAATATGTTCGTCAACGACCTTTTTTTCCGTGACGAAAACGAGACGATGACGAGACGGCACCGACGGCAGTTAACAATAACTGCAACGAAATCATCATGCAATATCGTTGACGAAAAGTGACGAGACGAAAATGTAGTTTACTAAATACAAACTATGCCAAAATCTCTCTTTACTTTCGTTGACGAAAAATGAGGAGACAAAATATTATCAAAGATAACGTTACATCTCTGATAGTCAGGTTTTCTCCAAGCAGTTCCATTTCCGGCGCTGCGGCTGGGCAGCAGCTGTCTGTCTGTGCTGAGCGCGGCGGTACATTTGAATTACACCGGGCAGCGGCACAATATGAACTGTCAAGAAGACTCGGGTCTAACTCATGGTCTAACTAACCTTATTTAACAGAAAATAAAATGGCAACAACAGGGCTTGGGAGCAGTGGTCGCACTCGCGTTAACCGAATACCCCCCCCCCCCTGCCCCGTCAGCGCGAGTGATTGATAAATTGTGCACTCGACGGATAATAATGGATTATGACGGAAATGTTACGATCCTGTCCGTCAAAATGACTGACAACGAAAAAGTCTAAAGCCACCACTGCTTGGGAGAAAGAAACGATGTGATATTTGGGCCCATTTTCGCTTCAATGAGGCGGAGAAAAAAAGCGAATGCATTGTTTTATCAGAAGGGAAGCAATGTGGCCATAACACAGCTGGTAAAAACACCACAAACCTGACCAGATACTCTCTGCAAAGCTGCTTAATCATTCAACCTGTGTTTTTCATCAAATAAGGACAAGATATAATCTTATTTATTTATATATACTAAAATGACAAATTATTGTTTTTGGCTAGACTAGTTTGACTGAAATGTTCTATATAATCTGATGACTAAAAAAGACTCAACAGTTTTTATTGACAAAAAGTAGACTAAAATAATTAGTTTTCTTTGACTAAAATAAGACTAAAATGCTCAGACTTTTAGTCGACTAAAACTTGACTAAATAAAAACAGGATGAAGGTGACTAAATATGACTCAAACTAAAAAGGAAATTTAACACAGGACTAAGACTAAACTAAATAAAAAAATAGCTGACGAAATTAACACTACCATGTACTAAATCATCACCTTGGTCCCATCATATACTCTGGGAAGAGAATATTTACTGTGCTTGAAAACTGGATCACATCATCATGTGAGGTTGACTTTGTGACCTGGAGAACATTTCAGCTGCAACATCAGCTCGTTGATAAGCTTGGGATTTGAGATCTTTGTGTAGCCATTCGTGGTGAAGGCATCTGTGCTATTGTATGCATTATTTGACCCAACATTTCTTCAGGCATGGCAGAATATGGCACTATTTTCACATGAATATTCTAGCCATTGTCTATTTGTATACCACGAGCTGCAAAATGACCGCCTAACCCCACTGTACAGGCGGGTACTTGTTTAGATACACCTGGGCAGGCTCTGTTTTGCCGTGGTATCCTGGCACCTGCGGGCCGCAGAGAGGCGGCGTAGTTTCGGGCGATGAAGACTGCTGCTCCGGGGGCGAGGGCGGCGAGTCAGGCGGGAGTAAGCTAGTGTCCACAACGTAGGGTAATGTGATGTTCCCATCTGACCTGTTGCTACTGTCTGCAGTAGATGCAGTGTTGCTGGCGTTTAGTGATGGTTGCTGAAAAACTGTAACTAACTGCTCCCTTTCTGCTCTCTCAGCATTCAGCCACCAACCCCTCACTGGTTCCTGAAATGCAGACGGTCGGTGGCGGCCCCCCCGGCCAGCCTATCAGCACAGAGCAGCCCAGCGACCAGGAGACCAAGCCAAAAAAGAAAAGGAAGAAGAAAGCTAAAGTAGTGGATGGACAGGAGGAAGATGGAGGGAAGAAGAAGGCAGCGACGGGAGAAGCCGGAGGAGAGGAGGACGTACAGTCCGAACTCCCTGGAGCAGGAAGTGATGCGGGTGAACAGGTTACTGGCACAGGAAACGTAGAGGGAAGTTCACCACTGGTGGAGGAGAAGAAGAAACGCAAAAAGAAACCAAAGGAGAAGGCAGAGGGAAAAGAGGACAAGGAGCCCAAGACCCCGAAGACGCCCAAAACACCCAAGACCCCCAAAGAGCCCAAGGAGCCTAAGGAGCCCAAGGAGAAGAAAACCAAGAGCTCCACACCCAAGACAAAGACCCCCAAGAAAACCAGGTAGGAGCAGCATTACATCAGCATTGTGTGTCGGCTGTTTCTGAAGCATCTAAAGCTAGCTAAACATCTTTACTCTACCAGCTGACAGAAGTAAACCTTCCTCAGCTTCCTGGTTGGGTGATATGCAGCTCAGAGCCTTTTAGCAGCATGAACTACACAGGGGTAGCTCTATGTTTTCCACCTATAAGTACTTGGAATGATTTAAATTTAGTGCATCCCAAATTAAGAAAATGTATTGACTCTAAATTTCTGAAACCTAATGACTCCTACTGAAAACACACACTCACGCACTCACTCACTCACTCACACACTCACTCACACACACTTAGTGATCACAGGGCTTAGTAAAGCATGGAGCACAGACACATCTCAGGATCCATCTCATTTCTTCTATAGAGACTGAACATCAGGGATAAAATGACTGTTTATCAGTGACAGGTGGAGAGTAGCATTAAACACCGTCTTCAGGCAGAACATTGTCTGTTAGCTCCTGGTAATGCCACTCCAATAAAGGAAGTCAATACCCCAGACGTTATCATTATACATAAGTCAAACCTGCAATTTGCAGCTTTTTCCCAGTAAGAGCATGGCTGCTTCTGCCAAATGGTAAAATGTTTGATGTGTAACAGCCATTGTAAGAAAACATACTTAGTCCCTCATTTTCTTCTGTTCATCTATGCTGCTCTGGTTGCATTTCTGTAGTTTCTATTATTTTCTGTTAGTTTTCATGGTGGCATTTATAATTATCTTTCTATAAAATGAGACTATATCATTTTTGTAAGTTCCAACTACAGAGAAAATGACAAATCCTAATGAGAGGACAGTGTTATTTCCTAAGAATGATATCTACAGATAGAAGATGAGCAGTACCACATGTACAGTTGATTTAGTGTGACACACATTATACAGAGGAGCTAAACATGTTACTTTATCAAAGTGTTCTCAATGTTCAAATGCGGAGAGTCCATTTTCAATGGTGATCTCGGGCATGGAGAGGTATCTCCGAGTTTCAAGCAGGAAGTCCGACCTCGGGGTGCGTTCCAGTTGAAATGTCTGACTGGGAACTGATGTTCCCACTTCCCAGTACAACTGGAACGCAACATTAGCATGTCACCTTCCAAGGAGTGTGAATGGATCAAACTTCCTGTGCAGGATATAGATTAGCTATGGAGCTTCTAGCACTTATGGCTGTGTGTCGATATGTGCTTTGGTTCAGTCAGTCTACACAGAGCGTATCACTGCCTCTTCTCATTCCTCCTCACTTCTCTCCCCCTTCTCCTTTCTGGTCAACACTTGTCCAACCTCTTCTATTTCCTGAACTTGTGTGATCAGATCGAAAACCGGTTTATTGCCTACTTTACAAGTGTTTACACATATGAGCCATTTTCCTTGGTGACTATGATGCATACATAAACAGTCAAAGAAGATCAATTATAACAAAAGGAACCAAAAAAGTCATTATAAAAAAGTATTTTGAGAAAAGTATTATAACATAAAAAATATGGCAATATCTACATGAATATATAGATATACCAAAAAACGACGTACTGTGTGTGACTACATTCTCGTAAAAATAGAATAAAATACTATAGATGTGTTGTATGAAAAGTGGAACGTTGTGCAGGACTGTTTGTGAAACTTGATCGCACTGAGGAATGTGTCAGGCAGCCCCCATCTCTCTGTCCCGGCCCTCAGTCTCCCTCCCCTTCCTCTCGGCCCCTTTTATCCAGAGGAAGAGGGAGGGCCAAAGCAGCAGGCAGGGGTCAGTGCTGGGGGAGGTGTGTGTGAATGCATTGCTCACTGGAAAAGAGTCAGAGGTGGGGAATAGGGGGGTCCTGGAGTGAGTGTGGGTGAAGCAGTGAGGGGGCCGGCGTGTGTTGGGGGAGGGGTTCGCAGGAATCTTTGTGGCAGAAAATGGCGTCTAATGATAATGAAGGCCATGCCGCTGACCACTCCACAGCCACCACCGAGGGGAGGAAATGTGGGGGTGGGGGAGGACACGCTCGGGCCCTTTCTGGGAGCGTGTATGTAAACCGGCGCTTATCTGTTGTCAGGCTTTCCTCCATCTTGAGTGGCGGCCCGGAGCTCCCAGGTTAATTTAGCATAATAATGGCTGCTGGCCATTCACTGGTCCTCTAAAATGGTGGACCAACTATCTCTTCTTTTATTCTTCCTTTCCCCCCTCCAGTACCACCTCTTCCTGCTGAAGAGGAGGGTGTCCTTTCAAATCTTCCCTCTGTTCTCCTGAATGATGCCATGTGTTGAGGATGAGGAGTTTCTTTCTTCTGCTGTCTCATCTTGTCTTTTGCTCATCAAGTTTCCATATTATTTAATTGGGTTCAGCGTGGCCCTCATGAAGTTTAGGATCTTAATTTGTCATGGCTCATCCCCATAAAGAAGTCTTACAGTGAGTTTGTGTGGAGATTTGGTTTTTAATGACATTATTTCATTTCAAGGCCATATCATTTCTTAATGCAGTAAGCTATTACTGAATAGTTTTTTGTTTAAATGTCATAATATACTTTTCTGACTTAATTTGAAAGGGTTAGGCCATAAAATTAGCTTTTTAAAACGTCTCACTATGTATAGGGAAAGTCCTCTTAGGGGGGCCACCAGCACATGCATATGTTCCATTGCATTCTGGGGAGATTTGTGTGAGATGTTGGTGGAGAAATAAGCCCCAAAACTGTAGAGTTTTTCATGTGGGCCACACCACACTGCAGTGTGTTCTTTCTGCTCACTGTATTTTACACCTGCAGACTAAAGCGTTCACTGGCGTGTGTTGGGCTGTAGGTATCCATTCCTTTAGTTTGGGCCAATGTCACCACAAGTCGTATTAGCTCTGCATTTTCACAAAAAGTTCAGGTACCATCAACTTGCATGTCAGTGATTCTCTACAGTTGTTAAACACACTCTCCTAAATTAAATGATGTTGTTGCCTTCATGTACACAGGATTTCAACCACAGAAATGTCTATACATAAATGGAGAGGAGAGGGTCCATCTGATGCATTCATATGATATAGGACCATCATGAAATCATAGCAACAAATATTTCATATTTGAAATGATAAAGATGACTTTTCCATGATTGATGGATGTTTGTGATTGACACTGGAGGTCCTCACAGGGATGTGACTAAACCGTGATTTCAGAGAGCGTTTTAAGTTTGTGTGATCCAGAGGGAATCATGTGGTTTACTAGTCCGGTCAGCTCACTCCTCTCCTTTGACCTTGCTCTCTCCCGCCATCCCTCTTTTCCTACGCTCCCTCGTCGCACTCCCTCCCCATCTACCTCTCTCAGAGGAAGTACATCTATAAATAACCCAGCCGCCACACCCTTCCCTATCTCTCTGTGGGTGCGGGTGTGTGTGTGTCTGATTTGTTTGCAGTACACACAAACAAGTTAGACATGCAGGCAGACGTGTGCAACTACAGCCCTTCTTAAAAAAACAAAGTGTGTGTGTGCTGTTGTTGCCATGGGTTAGTGAGTACATTAGGGTTCAGTGGTATGACTCATCACGGCAGCAGGTGTCCCCCCTCCCCGTCTCCTTCTTTTTGGTCATCCTCTGCATTTTCTCTTCTTCTCCCGCCTCATATTTTACTTCCCCGCTCTGCTTCCTGTCTATCCTTTATCCCCCTTCACACACTGACACACACCACAGCTGGCCAGCAGGTGTGTGTGCCAGGCTACAAGCCCTCAAGTATACTGCAGGCTGGAGGGGGGGTTAGTGGTGTACAGAATGAGAACCAACATGGTTGCTTAGAATGTGATGGACAATATACATTTAAGATAACAGAGCACCATCTCTATTTAAAAAATAACAGAATTCTGCTGATGAATGCAAATATGATTTGTTATCTGATATTCTGAGTTACAAGGCTCAACTATTTACAGGCAAATTAAATGCCCATTAAGAAATTAAAACTATATTTTCCTCAAACTTGCAATAACCAGATGTTTTTGCCACTTGGGGCTAATAGAAAGTTGAATGGACACAACATTAAAATATCACCTTTAACTTGTGATAGTGAAGTTGTTGGCTCAGTTACAATACATCTCTTCCATTCTTGGCTAGTTTCCTCCTTTAAGACCAACATTAACTATGGTCAGGGGTGCACATAACTGGTACGCAGATATGCATGCGCGGCAAAAATCTGAATTGCGTAATGTCACTTGTGTCACTACGCACCTTTGCGTACCTCAAAACAAAACTCATATTTCGTCTACACGTGTTTCTTGTCAACACTCAATGGAGTAAACTACTAGACATGTCAAAAAACCCAAAGACATTAAGCAGCTACGTTGCCGTTTCGCTCCCTGCAAAAACTCTTCGGACTTTCTATGACTGATTGAACTGGAGCTGGCCGAGCCGCGCAGGACATAACCGACGGACCTGTGAAGCTTTACAGGAGGCAGAGGCTTAGATCACCGGACGACAGAGTTGGTCGCCGTGTGCACACACAGGAGAACTGCGCGAAATCAGCTGATACAACGTTCACGCTCTGTGGTCAAGCTGCTGCAGTTTGATTTACAACAAAGTGGAGTGAAACACACAGTTGCAAACTTCCTCAGGGTGTTATGGAAGAGTTTGAAATCAGACAGAGGTGGAAGAATCAACTCAGATCTTGTGTAGGAATACTCTGTCACAGTAAAAGTCCTGCATTCAAAATGTTACTAAGCAATTTGAAAAGTAGGCTATTACCAAAATATAGTGAAAATAGCGACAGTAAAAGTAGTCGTTGTGCAGATTGGTCCATTTCAGAATAATATATATGATATGTTTTATAATGATTGATCATGAAAGTGTTCTCAAAGCTGGTAAAGGTGCAGCTAGTTTGAATGACTTTGTATACTGCAGGGTAGCTGGTGGATTTACTCCAGGTGGAACTAAAGTCTGATTCAACACTTGGTTATATTTCACATCATTCATCCACATCTGTAAAGTAACTAAAGGGATTAAATACATGTAGTGGAGTAGAAGTACACCATGTACCTCTGAACTGTAGAGGAGTAGAAGTACACCATGTACCTCTAAACTGTAGAGGAGTAGAAGTACACCATGTACCTCTGAACTGTAGAGGAGTAGAAGTACACCATGTACCTCTGAACTGTAGAGGAGTAGAAGTACACCATGTACCTCTGAACTGTAGAGGAGTAGAAGTATAAAAGTAGCATCAAAGTCAAGTAAAGTACAGATATCTCAAAATTGTACTTAAGTAGAGTACTTGAAGAAGTGTACTTAGTAACTTCCCACATCTCAAATCAGATATGACTTCAAGTCATGTGATCATTTCTTAGTATTTGATCCTTCAACTTGGCCTCAGGAAATGCAAGGACTTCACAGTGTTGGCAACAAGTTTTGGAGAAAGCAAATCGGCGGCTTAAAAAGAGACGGGGATATACATTTGCTGTTTATTTCTAAAATGAATAGCATGGAGTGATAATGTTAGCATCACAGGAGCAGTGCCTAAAGTTGTTTGGAATGTTTTGTGGTACGAGTAGATTTATTAAAATGGTTATAGAGGAAATGTTGTTGGAGAGGAGAGCAGCAGAGAGGACAGAGCAGAAAGAGTTGGAGGTAGAGAGCAGAAAGAGTTGGAGAGGGTGGGAGAGAGAGGGGGAGAGAGAGGGAGAGGGAGAGAGAGAGAGGGTGGGAGAGAGAGAGAGAGAGAGGGGAGGGAGAGGAGAGAGGGGGAGAGGGAAGAGAGAGGAGAGGGAGAGAGAGAGGGAGAGAGGGAGGGAGAGAGAGAGAGGAGGAGGAGAGAGAGGGAGGGAGAGAGAGAGAGGAGGAGAGGAGGGAGAGAGAGAGGAGAGAGGGAGGGAGAGAGGGGGAGGGAGGGAGAGAGAGAGACAGAGACAATCTGTATTCCCTTCCACGTTTGTAACACCCAGATGTCCAAAGTTAACACATTTGTTAAAATGGTATCATCCCTCGTACTGTTTTGTTTGTTTTGCAAAGGGCAGTGTATGGTACATCAAGTAAAACACTTTAACCAGCAATGACCAGCAGTAGTTAATGCTAGACAAAATGAGGCCTTAAAGGGGACCCATCATGCAACATGCACTTTTTGATGTCTTTTATACATAAATATGTGTCCCCGGTGCGTCAAGGAACTCACCTTGTGGTATAACCGGCAAGAGAGAAAGCCTTTGAGCTCCATACCGTTTCAGAAATAATCCATGATATGGCGTTTCATCACGGCAGTATTTGCCGGTAGAATCTCCCGCATAAGCTCCGCCCCTCTTTTTCTTTCTTTTCGCTTTATACCCAATATCGGCACTTTTGAAACAGGAAGTGAAATAGAGGGATTTGAGGCATGGCTAGAATGGATGATCTGTATTTTGAGCAAAACATTTCATAGACATATTTGTATATATCTGAGACCTATGCTATTGCCTAAAAATAGCATGACATTTAACAAAACTATTGTCTGATTAAATCCTCTGTAAACAAACTCCTTGCCCAGAGCTTCCCATCACTTAACCTGAGGCATCTTAACTTTTTCACTCCATTTAAAAATGAAGAACTTCTAGTTCTTGGAAATAAAATCTGGATCGGTAGGTTAGACTGGTTAAAAACTGGTTAAAAACTGTTATTGCAATGTGTGCACCTCTAATGGGTCAGCATTGAATTCTGCTGCTCTTCTCGCTTCAGATTGAAGCTACAGGTTTAGATGGCTAAAAATGTTGAAATCTAAATAATTGAATGGTGGATTTAAGGAATCACATTGGATAAGTAGCATCCATACTGGATCTATGTAATCTAACTCTGTCCTCTCCCAGCTTTAGTTACAGCCTGAATGTAGATCAGAATGTAGTTATTTGAAAGTCAGTGTTTTATAAAGCTTCTCCACTATTGGTCGTGTCAGAGTGAGTACTGATGGCCGGTGTGAGAGACAGAAGAGGGGAGCCCAGTGTCCTCTTGCTTTCCTCCTGTGGTGTGTGTGTGCGCGCTCTCGCAGATGGAGCCAGCTCCTCTTGCTTTCCATGCCAGAGATTAGAGGAAGCCTGGGGGCCTTTCAACCCCTCCCCCCTCCTCTTTCTGGGGCCTCTCTCTCTGTCTGCCTGTCTCTCCCTCCCTGTGTCTCTCTCTGCCCCCCCCTCTTCCTCTGTGCCTGTATCTCTCTATCTTGCTCCCTCCGCCTCTCTGCAGTCTTTCATCATATTAACCCCCTGTGTGCCAGAGCCCGAGGCACACTAATGATTTCTAAATGGGTAAATCAAACATGGCGACCGCCCTGGGACAGACAGGCACACACACACACAACACACACACACACACACACACACACACACACACACACACACACACACACACACACACACACACACACACACACACACACACACTCAGGAATGTCTAACACTTTGAGGAATGTTCTACTTTGTTTTTAGTCATTTTTTTCTTCTTTATTGAATGTTTAGTTTTTTTTCTCTCTCCCTACTGCAGTAAGAAGGCTGAGTCTGAGGGTGGGGCTAGCGCTGCTAAGAAGGAATCCAAGAGGAAGAGAGAGCCGTCAGTCAGCGATGAGGTGGAGGTGAAGTCTCCGCCCCCCTCAGCTCCTGAAGATGACGATGATGACGGCGTACAGGTACGACACGCAGACCAGGAAAGCAGCGCGTTAGAAGCCCGTTTCAACTCTCGGCCATCAAAAACTTCACAAATTGTTCAAATTAATGAATTATAAGATGGTTGCAGTTCAATTGTCAAAAATCAGGTCCTATGTCTTCTCCTAATCATTTTTCCTTAAACTCATTGAAAAACATCATGGGGTTAAGGATTGAAAGATTGAAGGTGAATTCATCAGGACTTAGGAAAAACTGTGCTGACTAAAAATGTTCATACATGGACTACTCAAAACACATCTAGATACTTCCCCCCCATGCGTTCTATATAAATGTGTTGGCTTTGCAGTGACATTTTTTTTCTCCAAAGTAGTCAGTTGCAGCGGACCTGCAGGATTCTGGGAGTTGTTCCAGATATTTGGAGCATAATAACTGAACGCTGCTTCTCAATGTTTAGTTCTGACTCTGGGGACAGAAAGCAAATCGTCCCAGACCCCCTGAGAGTTTTGTGTGGTTCATAATATAGCAGGAGATCAGAAATACGTTTTGGCCCATAGGTACTTTTGGGTCTTTCCCTCTGTTAGGAACCTTCCTGAGAAGAAAAGACTGCAGTGTTTGTTTCAGGCATAACACCTAAAACCTCCCTCAGTGTCACAGCCTGTAGAGATAGAAGCTGTCCTCTGTTTGTGTTGTAAACCAGCTTTGTTGACAGACCAACCACAGGCTCAACTGCCAAGTTCATCTGATGCACTATCAGCAACTTTTCAGTTGGTGCATCAATGTTTTATTTCAAATACAATTCAAAATGTCTCCTTCCTGTTCGGTAAGGTGCTCTTTGGAGTAACAAACAGAACTCCACTTTAGCCCTCTTCAAAGGGATAAATGTTTGATGTGCTAATGTAATTACGTGTGCCATGTAAACAGAGTAGCATCTGGCTGCATAAAGAGTCGTGGCTCTCATTCAAATAGGAAAGCTCCGGAAGAAGTGTGTCCTCTTTCTCCTGTTCACTACACTTGTCTTTTTACACACACTCATTATTTGGCTACTTTTCCAGCCCAGCAAATTGGGTGATGTCAATATGGATAACAGGCCGCACCATATGGAAGAGAGTAATGAATAATACAATTGAAGTGTGTTTGGAATAGAACAGCCCTGTACTTTCCTCTCTCCGCCACTACACATTTACATCTACACTCTGGAAAGCCGTCCTGAACTCACAGAACTCTCCCTCTGTCCAACAGAAGCGCCGCTCCAGCCGCCAGGTGAAGAGGAAGAGGTACACGGAGGATCTGGAGTTCAAGATCACAGACGATGACAGTGGCGACGACTCGACAACACCCAAGTCTCCATCGTCGTCACATCAACAGGTACAGCTGGGCTTTCAATCACATGATGATGTAAACGAGGAGAAGCTAGACATTCATAACAATTGCCCCACCACTAATATTGAAGTATCAACACATGTCACAGTAGAGACACAAATACAAATATGAACCTGAAAATGAGTAGAATAGTGCCCCTTTAAAGTGGACCTATCATGCTATATTTGAATAATATATTGTAGGGCCATACCTATATAAGGTATATTTATACGTTTTCTTTTTCAAAATAGCAAACAGATCATGCATTTTAGCCATGCCTCATTTCGCTCTATTTGCTCTCCTCCACCCTGTCTTTGCATGCGCTGCAGCTGACCACGCCCCCCTGCAAAGGAGGGTGGCGAGGCACGAGCGTCATGTTACCATGCTGTTACCATGCTGTTACCATGCCACGGCAACCTCTCATTCCCCTGATTGGTGGAGAGTTGGCCATATAGGCGGAGCTCCTCGTCACTGACGTCAGACTATATTCAAATCTGGATCAGATCCGTTTTTAGAGATTTGGGTATGGAGGAAAAGAGAGCGTTGTGTTTTCTGACACTTGGTGAGTTCCCTGGAACACCGGGGACACATATTCATGTATAAAAGACGTACAAAAGTGCATTTTGCATGATAGGTCCCCTTTAAGGAAAAGTTTGATATTTAGTTTATACAAAATGTAATTTAAATCCTTTTAGTCAATGGGGAAAAATGATTACTAAGAAACTTTTAAAGTGAGGTTTTCAATAAAAGTACCGTTTGGTATTCCTCCCAAACCCCAGTTATAAAACCAGCACTGATCCTATGTCAGTTTCACATGTATAGTGACCGTTGTACCTGAAGTCAGTCAGTAGCTGCTGTGCTGCAGAGGCTGGATGAAGCTCCAACTCTTCACATGTTCCGTTTGTTTCCAGGATGTGGCCGAGGTTGAAGGGCCCGTTGTGGAAAAGATCATGGTCAAACGCATCACCAAGAAACAGGTGAGAAACAGTGACACACGCACCAACACAATACACAGACAAACACACAAAGATTGACACACTGGCCCTAGTCATGGTTTGCGTCATTTTATTAGCCGCTCCTCAGCTGGCCTAAGCAGATTACACACACACACACAAGGTGTGTATTCACTTGGTAAGCAGAGACGAGAGTTCTTGTCTTCACTATGTGTGTGTATGCGCTTGCAGCACTGTGTGCATCTGATTGACTCTATGTGTGTGTGTGTGTGTGTGTGTTTTCCCAGCTTTGCTTTAGACGGTTTGTCTAAAGAAAGCACATCCCGAGCCAACACACGCACAAACAGTCACCAGCCAACTTTCCTTTGCTAGCCAGCTGCCAATGGGTTACCCCCCCTCCACACACATACACACACACATGCACGCGCTCCATTCAGAGTTGACCTCGGGCTTGGCCCACATCCAAAACCACAACGCTAGCTCGCCAGACGCCAAGCTAGCGTTTCCTCAGGCAGGGTGCGTGTGTGTGTGATTGATGATTCATGGCATTACAGTAGTAGTAGCATGGTGGTGTGTGTGTGTGTGTGTGATTCTTACAGTAGTGAATGGAAGTGGATGGCTGCGCTTAAAAGGAGCTGCTGTTAGGGTGCTTCCCTTTCACACACGTGCTGCTGCTGCATGCATGGGAGAAATCTAAAGAGAAATATTACAGTGCTATATTTTGAAACAATAAAACTCTGAAGGATATAGTCAGCAGCGGAAAAATATTTTTTACTTAATTAAAAATATAAATACTTCTGCATTCAAAATGTTGCTCAAGTAAAAGTATTCTCATCAAAATATAGTGAAAGTAGCGACAGTAAAAGTAGTCGTTGTGCAGATTGGTCCATTTCAGAATAATATATATGATATGTTTTATAATGATTGATCATGAAAGTGTTCTCAAAGCTGGTGAAGGTGCAGCTAGTTTGAATGGCTTTGTATTCTGCAGGGTAGCTGGTGGATTTACTCCAGGTGGAACTAAAGTCTGATTCAACACTTGATTATATTTCACATCATTCATCCTGATCTGTAAAGTAACTAAAGGTATTAAATACATGTAGTGGAGTAGAAGTACACCATTTACCTCTGAACTGTAGAAGTACAAAGTAGCATAGCATTTAGATACTCGTGTAGAGTACAAGTACCTCAAAATTGTACTTGAGTAAATGTACCTAGTTACTTTACACCGCCGGATATATATTTTTTTTACTTCTCTGCAATAATAGAGCCCAACCTTTTTTCAAGTCACACGTGAGGAAATTCCAGATTAGAAGTGTCTCCACAGCGAGTTAAACCGAAGCTGCTGCCACTCACCCACATGTTGTATAACAATGACTCTTACACCACGCCACAGCTACATTTGCTTATTATCAACCTTTGTGTTTTTCAGCTGGAGTCGGGGGAGGAAGTGGAGGTGGAGGAATTCTACGTCAAGTTCAAGGGCTTGTGAGTACCATGCCGTGTTTGTCCCATTCCTTCCATATCTGCCTCTTTTGTCTCTCACAGCATGGCTTCCCCCTTTCCTTTTATACTTGTTTTCAACACGCACACACACCGGGGTGTCCGAGGTATCTTTAAGTGTGAGAAGCTTTGTGTACTCAACCTGAAAGCCTGGCTCACTTTGTGCTACACAACCACTCCACAATAACGCAGAAGTGCTGCTAGTACACTTATTTTATGATATTGCCAAACACATGTGGTGTTTTTCTTCATCTGTCGTCATTAAAAGTGTTTCAGCTGTTGTGTCCACCCAGTATGGCTGCGCCAATTGTATTCAAATCAAAGTTTATTTATTCAGCCCAATATCGCAAAACGTGTTTCTCTGTGGGCTTTGCAGATGAACAAACACGAGTGAGTGCTAAAGGATGAAGAAAAGAATAAGGACAAGATAAAATACGAAACACAAGTAAAATAGATGAAAGAAAAAAAAATGTTCTCCAAATCTCACTATATAATAGTGCTTTATTCAAATTGCAGAAAGCACTATTTCTGTAAAAGGCAGAATATGTTTATAAACAATTTTGAATAAAGTATTGTGTTGCTGCCAATACCAATAGTATTCTAAATTACTGTTTGCTACAGATGCTCTTAAAATAATCACCACATCATCAATTGATATACACATATGCAAATGACATTTTAATTTAACCAACCCAACTTTTTCCTTCAGTAAATCACCTATTTAGAGTTTGATTATTCCAAACAGCAGTCTTGTCCTCTTTGGCTTTGATGGGAATCACTGAGTGTGTGTGTGTGTGTGTTTCAGTTCATACCTCCACTGCCGCTGGGCAGACCTGGAGGAGCTGGAGAAGGACAAGAGGATACACCAAAAGGTCAAGAGGTTCAGGGCCAAGCAGCTGCTCCTCAACAGCTTCATAACAGAGGTAAGACTCTCCACTACGGTCAGCCCAGCTCCACACCTAATGAAGTCAATAGGTGCGTTCACACCGCAGTACTTTTCCCACTTTAGTTCCGATATAGTTCCGAAATGTCGCGTTCACACCAAAAAGAGCCGGAACTAAAATTAGTTCATCAGAACTTTTTTTACCCCCTTTTCCGTCCCTGCTAGAGAGCAAGGACTTTCGTGGGAGAAAAAGGTTCCTATGTCTGAATGGCTGGGCGGATTGCAAACCACGCCCCGTAAAACTCCCAAAAATGTTTTGTGAAGCCGCCATTTTATTATCCTCGCATTAGCATTATTAGCATTAGCCCAGCGCAGAAACGCAGAGAGACTAACTTATGGCAACACAAAATAAAACATGGGAGCGGTAGAGATGAGGAGGTGTCGGCGTTCTGGTGATTTACTCGGAAGGCTTCAGTAGAAGCTGCTGGGAGTCCCAGCAGCTTCTACTGAAGCCAGTCCCCAACTCCGGGGACTTCCGGCCGGGGACTTCGGGCGGCAGTATACGCCGTGAAGTGGTTTGCGGCCTGCCAGTAAACCCAAAGCAGCAGCAGCAGAAGAAGAAGTTCATGAGAACTAAAGAGTTCCCATGAACTAAGTTCTGATGAACCTTTGTGGGAAAAGTACTCCGGTGTGAATGCGCCTATTAAAGACTATTATGGTTCTACATTTAAAATACTAGCCCTGTTTTATCATACTAAAGTTGATTCATAACAGCCTTAATTCATAAGACATAACAGAGATATGTGAAATAGGGATCAAAAGCTGTAGTATTGGGGCACAAACACTGAACAGGTACAAGTAACAAGTATTTCATAGATATTAACACATCTAGAATTGGAGAGCTCATGTACTATACTGAAACCTTTTACAAGCTAAAAACACCTAACACTAACCAAATACCCTAAAAACAAATTCAACCCTAAGTACTAAATGGTCCCAAAACAGTATTTTCATCAGTCTAAACATTGGTTTATACAGTCAATATGTAATAAACACAGATATATGACAAATAGAAAATAATGGTAGAAATCAAATGCATTTTAGAGTGAAGTCCCAAGCATTTTATCTTCATACAGACATGTGTTTTACAATAATGAACACTGACATTAAGAGGCTCAGAAATCAACATCTTTTGAAGGGGGAAAAGCCAAAGAGAAAAACCCCATGTATACAGCTCCAGATAAAAGACCATGAAAAGATTTAGCCAGTACACGCTGTCAGCAGACCTATCGTTAAACCTCCTCCCTGCTATTGGTAAAACTCCAGTCTCTTTTCTTTCCAGATGGACGACGAGCCTTTTAACCCCGACTACGTGGAGGTGGACCGTGTCCTGGACGTTTCAGAGAGCCCAGATGAAAATGAAGAGGTGCTTTGATCTCTTTCCTGTCATCTTTCATGGGTTTGAGCGTCTGCCTCTCTCCACACGCACTCCCCAGACCTGACTCCTGTTTCTCTCTCTCTCTCTGTCTGTGTGTGTGTGTGTGTGTGTGTGGTGTGTGTGTGTGTGTGTGTGTGTGTGTGTGTGTGTGTGTGTGTGTGTATAGACGGTGACCTTATATCTGGTTAAATGGTGCAGCCTGCCTTACGAAGACTCCACCTGGGAGCTGAAGGCCGACATCGACCAGTCCAAGATAGACGACTACGAACTCATCGCAGCACGCACACCCAACACTAAGAGAGTGGTAAGCAGCTCCTTCGGCGTGTGTGTCTGAATTCTCGTTGGGTGCTATATGGTTCCTCCCAGTAGGCGTGTGTTTGTGTGTGTTGGCCTGCTGCCTGCCTCCTCCAGATTTACAGCTCCCTTAACTGCTCTCCACAGGGCCACGTTCTTGTGGTCTCACACACTCGCGCACACACACTCGCACACACACGCCCTGGTCTTGTGGCCGGGCCAAACCACTAACAGTGTGTTTAATGCTGAACAGAAGCAGCTGACTGGCTGTGGTCTCTGCCTCATCACTCCTCTCTCTGCCTGCGTCCATCTCTTTAACTGCAGCCTACTGTTTCTCCTTAACCTGTTAAGCCCGGCAGCCCCCGCAGGCGAAACTGTGTCTCACACGAAACTGTGTCTCAGGGCATCTTAACATTTAACAACCTATTAATGTCATACCCACTTAATGGGAAGAAACTCAGCTAACTGACGATATGAACAATTTTTAGCTAAATAAAACACAAGGGTAATACCAATCCTCTGAATTAGCACTAAGCGCAAAAATGCTAACGCACTTAGCACTGAACTCACGGTAGAAATATTTTATTACTTATCGGATCTGCACAAACAAGATATCAGTGTGTGAGAGCTACCACCCAGCTTCCGGTTCCGGGGCATTCTGGCTGTGCATCACTCATTTACCAATGGGTAATGTTTAGATGGATTTTCAGAACTTCCCTTCGATTCTATTGGCTCTAACGGTTAAAAAGATGTGTCAATCATCAAAATCGACCGAGGGGGGCCATAGATATGGCAAATGCACCCAAATGACCCCAGAAGTGTTTTGTTTTTTGCTAAATCTCTCTAAAAAGGTAAAATGTCACTTGTTTTTCATCAATCTTGATACAGGGTACTTATTATATGTTATAGTTTGGATTCCTAAAGCTTTTAGTCTACTATCCCATCATTCAAGGGTGGTTTTCACTATAAGTCATGTTTCTTTTTTGGACGGACACAATAATTAAAAAATGTTTTACTATGTTCAATCTGAATTTACTTTAAAATAAAAACATCTATATTGATTCTGACTTTTCTACATCCAACTCACATATGTAACCTTGCTTTGAGAAAAAAGATTATTAATTTACCCATTTTTAGAAGTGAAGATATAGTCATTTGTTCTGGGAATGTCATTTTCGAGCCTGAGACCTGAAAAACAAGCTCGGGGCTTAAGAGGTTGAGGGCCCTGTTGGAGCGGCTCCACAGAGGCACCATTTAGATTTTTATTTTTGGAAAACTGTCCCAGGAAACATCTCCCTAACTATTCAAAAAAGACAGACATTTATCTTTCTCCTGCCTCTGACTTTGCCGGTCAAAAACAACTTGAGTGCATGGAGAGATTCCTCGAAGACTAAACCGCATGTTAATCTATTTTTCATATGGAGCAACATATGGGAGGACGTTTCTCTATTCTGAGCCTTCCTTTCCCTGCTTACTGTGTGCTGCCATGCACTTTGGGTTGTAATAGAAAGCTACCTAATGCATCCGTCTTTTCTTCAAGAACATCAAATCAATCATAATAATAATAAAAAATCTTTATTTGTATAGCACTTCTCATACACCAGGTGCAGATCAAAGCGCTCAAAACCTCCAGTGTACCACAGTAAATATTTGTTGTTCTGTAGCTGAATGACACTTGAACTGTGGTTTATTGCACCACCCCGTGTTTTACAATCACAAATTACCCTTGGATCCTTGAAATCCAATTTATCCCATCTTCAGTTTTCCAACAAGTCCCATCCTCACACCAAATATTTGATGAAGATAGATGAGCCTCGATGTTGTGTAGTAATTAATGTTTTGTGCGTCTAGGAACGGCCCCCTGCAGCCGAATGGAAGAAGCTGGAGGGCTCCATGGATTACAGGAACAGCAACGAACTCAGGGAGTACCAGCTGGAAGGCCTCAACTGGCTCACCTTCAACTGGTACAACTCGTAAGTCACCATTAAGTTTATTCTGCTCTAATGAGCTCCTCACTGCCACTGTCAGCCTGTGCATGTGACGGCCCCTCATCTGATGCTCTTAATGGGACATTAAGTGGCCCTCCAGCATGCTGGGGATTACCTTTTCCCACTGCCGCTATCCATGCACCCTGTTAGTTCCACCAAAATCCTCATTTAAGAGCACAGATACAAGGTTTTTGTAAGTCTGTGTGCATTTTTCTGTTGAATGCCCCAATTCCAGAGGTGGAAGAAGTATTACGGTATTTTTCTTAAATAAAAGTAACAATACCAGAGTGTAAAAATAGTCTATAAGTAAAAGTCCTGCAATCAAAGAACTAGCATCAAAATATACTTAAAGTAAAAGTAGTCGTTGTGCAGATTGATCCATTTCAGAATAATATATATGATATGTTTTATAATGATTTAACACTTGATTATATTTCACATCATTCATCCACATCTGTGAAGTAACTGAAGGTATTAATACATGTAGTGGAGTAAAAGTACACCATGTACCTCTGAACTGTAGTGGATTAGAATTAGGGTTGCAAAGGGGTGGAAAGTTTCCATGGGAAGTTAAGCTGGGGAATTTTGGAAATATTCGATGCAAAATTAAACAAAACATGACATTTCAACAGATGATTTTTTTTAAAAGTAGAACAGAACAAGTTTTAATTATTTTATTGAACAATTATTTGTTTCATTGAAGAACGAAAACAGGAATGTTGAGTTAAATGTTACTCATCCCCCCCAACCCCACTCATTAAAAAATTAACAAAAATGCACCCCCCATCCAAAAAGTCCCATTAAACATGCGAATCTTCCTTCAAGCAATCCTCTGCATTTTTGCTAAACCCTTTCAGTCAATGGGCTCTTCCTGGGCCCCATCAACATCCAACAACATGTCCACTTCCTCAACATCCAACTCTGAGTCTTCCTCTTCAGTGTCACTGTCCAGCCTGGTTGAGGATGGCTCTGTGTCCGGCTCAGAGAGCCTTTGGTTTGCCCGAATGCCAACCAGTTTTTCCACTCTCACATTTGTGAGCCTGTTGCGAACCTTTGTGTGGTCTCAATAGCCATGCAGTGAGCCGTGTGCTATGGCATGGATATTCAAGTGTACTTGAATGGCATCTGTTTGTTTTAGTCAAGATTATGCTAAAATATACTTTCCCCAACTATATTGAAGTTCCCTATGAAGAGCCAACCTTCAATTTAGAAAATTCCCAGTTTATTCCCGTTAATTCCCGCTGAAAGTTTCCATCTTTGAAAATTCCCGGAATTTTGCAACCCTAATTAGAATAACATTCAAATACTCATGTAAAGTACAAGTATCTCAAGATTTTACTTTAGTACTTGAGTTAATCTACTTGGCTACTTTACACCACTGCCCAAGTCTTACCGTTTGAGGGTGAATACTGTTCATGGATGTTTTTGGAATATGAAGGACTCAAATCAAGTCTCTGAGTATGACAGATAATTTTCCAGCTTCTTGCACATTTTTTGCATTAGATCGCTGCTGTGGAAAACAGACCGCCTCACCCCTGTGGAAAAGCAGCAGCAATAATGATCTAAAGGGAAAGATGGTTGAGGTCATGGAAGCATACTGCTGAGTCATGTAAAAGTTCCGGAGGTTTACATCAGGGCCAAAGCGGACTGGTCTCTGAGATGTCAGACTTGTAATGTTAACTTGTTGAGTGACACTGAATAGAGCTTTGTTTTTATGCTATTATTCATTCTGAGCACTTCCTCCCTCCACAGACGTAACTGTATCTTGGCTGACGAGATGGGTCTAGGAAAGACCATCCAGTCTATTACATTCCTCTATGAGATTTTCAAGATGGGCATCCAGGGGCCGTTCTTGGTCATTGCCCCGCTCTCCACCATCCCCAACTGGGAGAGAGAGTTCCGCACCTGGACGGAGCTTAACGCTGTGGTGTACCACGGCAGCCAGGCCAGCCGCAAGACCATCCAGGCCTACGAGATGTACCACCGAGACTCACAGGTGAGCACACTGCGTCCAAAAGGCACATCATGTGAAGGCATTCATACAAGTACATCTTTTTTTAGTGGAAGAAAAATAGAGGGATGTTGGTATAAAAACAATCAATTATTTTAACACATGTAATAAGAGAAATTCAGAACAGATACATGAGATTAAAATTGATAAAATAAGGGTTTTTATTTCTGTCAACCACCATCCAGTCAAAATAACCTCTCTGCTGATTAGTTATTGAAAAGAAAAGTTAAATCTTTGCTGTATATATTGTGTATTTATTTCAACAAGGACCATGCATACAAATACATTAATCTCAGAAAAGAGAAAATATGGATTATGCCAGATTATAGCTAATAACTAATTTCATAACAATCAACAAACACTAAAAACATTGCATAATCTCTATCTCACAAACAATTATAAAACATGATTTAAGTACTGTTCAATAAAATAATACATAGTACAGTTACAATATAATATAACACAGTTTAAATTGAAAAACTCAGATTGCAGTGCAATTAATGTTGGCATGACTGGTTGCTTAACCTCTTAAACCCTGAGCCTGTTTTTCAGGTTTCAGGCTCGAAAATGCCACTAACGCAACAAAGACTATATCTTCACTTCTAAAAGGGGTAAATTAATAATCTTTTCTCTCAAAGCAAGGTTACATCTGTGAGTTGGATGTAGAAGTGTCAGAATCAATATAGATGTTTTTATTTTAAAGTAAATTCAGATGGAACACAGTAAAAACATGTACATTCTAATGTCCGCCTAAAAAAAACTCATTACTTATAGTGAAAACCACCCTTGAATGATGGGCTAGTAGACTAAAAGCTTTAGGAATCCAAAATATAACATATAATAAGTACCCTGTATCAAGATTGATGCAAAACAAGTGAAATTTGACCTTTTTAGAGAGGTTTAGAAAAATAAAGTCCAAGCGGACTCACCTCTGGGTAATTTGGGAACCATAAGTTCCATTTCAACTTTTTCACTGTAAAAATCATTTTATTACTTTGAATTATCACTATAGGTATTCATTCCATCCAAATACAACTGTTGTGAAAAAATAAATAAATAAAAAATAAAAACATAGGCCTACTCTGTTATCCTCTGAGCCTCTGAATTAGCCCCGAGCGAAAAATGCTAACCTATTACTGCACCGAAAATCACTCCTAGCTCCCTTATTACTTATCCTAGCTGCACATCCAACACATCGTTTATGATCGTAAAGACACAGAATCTAACGGTGCCCACCTCAACACTGAAAGATACAAACTCGCGACGTTAATAAACAAAAACGTACATCAAAACAAATGGTGCTGGCGCTAATGCGTTAGGCTAACATGGCTTACCTTCCTCTTTGTCTGGTCTAAACTGGTCTTCAATGGCATTAAAACGATAAAAACGATGATGTAGTTAATCCATAGGTTAATATCCAATGTGGCTGTGTCCCCTTTGAAATGTTCTGATAATCTATAAGCAATAAAACTGCAATTCCGTTATCTGCTGTCCGCTCTGTGCTCCGTGCGCTCTGGGTCCTGCTTCCTTACGTAGTAAACAATAAGTAAAGTCTCCTGCGTAATGTACTTAAGCTGGCTGGCATTCTTTATACTTTACACAGGACCATATCTCTGGAACCCATTGGTCGATTTGGGTGATTTACACCTTTTTCTTAACCATTACATCCAATAGAATCGATGGGCAGTTCCCAAATCCACGTAAACATTACCATAGCGGACGTAATAGAGAAGCAAAGGAAACATCTGAAAGTACAAGCCTGGACGGCAAAACGTTATACCCAGTATATTGCCATAAATATGATGATGGATTATCAGTAAAAATGTCTACGTGACACAAAGACATTGGATTAACCTTGAGCGGCGTTTTTATTCCGTTGAACACAACTTTTGATCACAAATCAAAAAAGGTAAGACGTAATTATTGTAATATTTTTGAAACCGGATGTTGTTTACTTTCTCTTTTCTGGCTGATAGCTCCAGGAATTCGAGGTCGGATAGTGATGACATTACATGTGTGGAATCTGTGGAGTCTCAGCTTTAAATCGTATATCTTGTTTGTGCAGTTAAGATAGTAATAAGGGCATTTCTACCGTGAGTTCTGTGTAAAAAAGCGTTAGCATTAGTTAGCATTTTTTCGCTCAATGCTAATTCAAAGGCTTGGTATTACTCTTGTGTTTTTTCTAGCTGACAATTGTTCTTATTGTCAGTTAGCGGAGTTTCTTACCTTTAAAAGGGTATGCAACATTAATAGTTTCATGAATGACACTTCAGATATAGCACTGTTGCTACATATATAGCATTTTTGGACCCGAGCTCGGGTCCGTGGGGCTTAAGAGGTTAATATCAATGTAGTTAAGCTGTGTAACTGAATAAATCATCAAATGTTATGTTTAATTAGACAAAGAATGAACAGCCAGAGGTAAAAGGCTGTTTCAGCTCAGTTCTCGGTCATTTAGCTTGATTGATTGGTTGAATTTCTTAAAGGTCCGTCAAGAATTGCCAAACATGTAAAAAGCCTTTTCCAGGCTTTCATTATACATATTTCTATCTAAAACAAGTGTCATTTGCTTGAAATGTAAAGTACATGTTTTGTACATGTACATGTACATCCTAAATAAAGTGTAGTAAATAAAAGACCTGAAGACCGAGTGTTGATGCGTCCTGTTAGCAGCTCTGTATGAGGAGGATGATGTAGCAGTACAGTGTGACTGTCAGCACATCTGAACAGCTACCCTGTGGGGGGGAGGGGGGTCCGGTCAGCTGGGGATGGACAGTGCTCCTCTGCTATGTAAGCTCTTTACACTCCTCGAGCTGTAAGCTCTTATTGTACAATGCGGCGGACACTCTCAGCCACTCAGTGAAACCCACGCCACCACTGAAGGAAATAAGCTGGAGTAGCCGTGTCCTTGCTAGCTGCTTGTTCCTAATCCTGGCTGAGGTAATCCTCAAGGTCGAACTGGACCACGTGTTCCTGCACTGCCTGCTTACAAGGGACAGCTACACAAAACACTTCAGGGTTACACTGTTTATGTCTGCCATCTCTAAAATGGTAATAATATTAAAGGGGGTATTCTGTTCTCTATTCGACCAGATTTCATTAAAGGGGACCTATCATGCAAAATGCACTTGTGTACGTCTTTTATACATGAATATGTGTCCCCGGTGTTCCAGGGAACTCATCAAGTGTCAGAAAACACAACCCTCTCTATTTTCTTCCATACCCAAATCTCTAAAAAAGGAGCTGCAAAGGATCTGATACCTGACTGATCCAAATTTGAACACTGTCCTGACGTCAGTAAAGTGGCGCTACGGCTATTGGTCAATTCTCCACCTATCAGGGGAATGAGAGGTTGGGCCACGGCCGGCCATTGCTGCTCGAAAGCGCTGAGACGCTGTAGTACATATGCCAGGCCTGTAAGTGGCGCTGTAGTCTGCCACAAAAGCAGCGAAGAAGACTTCCCTTGCATGGTTGCCATGGTTGCCCTTCTGTTTATTCTCCGCTGTGGCTCTTTTTCTCCCTCCCCGAGGCAAGCGTTTGCGCCTCCTGCTTTAAAACAAATGAATAATGACTCTATATAATCATATGTAAGGGATAATGTGCAGCGACGCGGTCATTATGGGGAAAACAACACCGACAGCTGATCAGGAGCCCGACGCGAAGCGGAGGGATCTAGATCGGCATGAAGGCACATTATGCAATGTGCACATTATCCCGCTTATTACATGGCCACATTCTCGACAAAGTAACGATATGACTCCCAATATTAATTGAAATGCTTTTATGGATTTAGAAAATGATTTTAGTGATTTAAAAAATAATTGTATTGATTTAAATTGACATGCATCCACTAAGAAAAGTAGTCCGTTGTTACCGTTTGAACTAACGTAGCAACGGCAGGAACTGCTTCGATAGTGTTTTTGAGGAGCTTTTTGATTACAGATTTGAAAACATCGTTGCTTGCTTTAAAAGTAGCACAATTCATTGTGTCAAACCTTGGAAAGTATCTAGATATCCCTGCCCTAATGCCAAAGGAACTGGCAACTGAATATGTGTCGCCGTTTGATGTCTATGTCTGGACCGCTGCGTAAAAAGGAGGGTTTCTGCCCCATTACTTCTCTTCTTACTTCTATAAGAATAAAACACGGAGGACGGAGATCTCTTTTTCTCCCCCTCTTCTCCCCGCTGCAGCCCAGCAGCTGATCTCAAAGCACGCTCCCCTCTCCTGCAGGGGGTCGTGGTCAGCTGTAGCTCACAGAATCAGCCCCTGCAAAAACAGCGCTGGAAAGAGCAAATAGAGCGAAATGAGGCATGGCTAAAAACTATATTTATATACTTTATATAGGTATGGCCCTACAATATATTGTTCAAATATAGCATGATAGGTGTCCTTTAAAGAAAACATACAACCGGTGTCAAATGTTGTTTTTTGGCCTTTTCTCACTATTATGGAGTTGCCATGATTGTATATTTTTCGTTCAAGTAAAAACTGTTTCCCTCCCTGATCCACGGCATGAAATAATATTAAATGTACAGACTTAGACAATAAAGATGAGTCATATTGACCCTCATTCTTTCCCCTCCTTCAGGGTAAAGTAATAAAGGGAGCGTACCGGTTCCACGCTGTGATAACGACCTTCGAGATGATTCTGACCGACTGTCCGGAGCTGCGCAACGTGAATTGGCGCTGTGTGGTGATAGACGAAGCCCACCGCCTCAAAAACCGAAACTGCAAACTACTGGAAGGACTTAAAATGATGGACATGGTGAGTGGGGGGCTAGGGCAAGAAGAATCGATTCAGCGAGTGGTCGCTATCGGTTATCTCTAGGGCTGTTTGACACCTAAGAAATTCCACAAACAATACTTAACTTGTCGACTAATCGCTCAGTTGGTTTTATCTGCAGTTTGTGTTCACAAGTTTAGTACATCACATGTAATCTTGAGTTAACCAGAAATGTGCCTTTAAGTTTCTTGGAAGTTAGTCATTGAGCTTTTAAAAAGTGACTGAGAAAATATTACAGTGGACATTTTGTTATTACTTTCATTATTATTGTTTTATTTATTTTATAGGTTTTACTATTTTATTGTATTTATTCATTTAGCGCTGTCTTATTTGACCAAGAGGGATCATTGTTTATTTGATTTGTATTATCACACCTACTTGACCTCTTATGTCCCTGGAACTGTTGTATTATGGTGTTATGCTGTATACGTGCTAAAAGGTTTCAATGTTTGACCTGAGGTGAATCTTTGATTTTTGCCATGTTATCAAAGCACTTTGAGCTGCACCCGGCTTGTAAAAAGTGCTTTACAAATAAAGCTTTATTATTATTTATTCAAACAAACAACCTAGCAACTAAGATGGGTCAGCTGATAAATACGAAATCATTCTTTTATTCATTTGCACACTCTCACTGAGATAATTGAGCTCAGAGTAAGGTCCACAGTACATATGAATCAGAATGCAGATTATTGCCGGGTACGTTTACACTTGCAGGGAATTTGCTCTAAGAAAAAAAGTTGCGATGGTAGGTACAAAATGTGTCTATACTAAAAAGAAAAAGTATTTTTAAGCAGTGTGCATTTTTTGGCACACTGAGTTTTCTTAGCCAGATTTGTGTAGCTTTTCAAAGCTCTTGTATGGAGTTGGACAAAGCCTTCATGTGAGACACTCAAACGTCCTCTCTCCTGTCTCTCCCTCTTGCAGGAGCACAAAGTCCTGCTGACAGGGACTCCTCTCCAGAACACGGTGGAGGAGCTCTTCAGCTTACTCAACTTCCTGGAGCCCGAGCGCTTTCCCTCTGAACTGACATTCATGAGTGAATTTGGAGACCTAAAGACTGAAGAGCAGGTAAATGGAGAACTCTTCGGAGAGGGGAGGACCTTCACACTTCCTATGGTTCCTTCACTGACTGAAGTGTTAACCCTGCTTCCCACGCTCTCAGGTCCAGAAACTGCAGGCCATTCTGAAGCCCATGATGCTGAGAAGACTGAAGGAGGATGTGGAGAAGAACCTGGCCCCCAAGGAGGAAACCATCATAGAGGTAGGACTGATGTCTGAACCGTCTTGTTATGGTGATGGTTTCCATACATCGTCATTTCATGGATATGTTTCAGAGAAGGGAAAAAAATAATTGCGTCAACCTTTTTCAGGTGGAGCTGACCAACATGCAGAAGAAATACTATCGGGCCATTCTGGAGAAGAATTTCACTTTCCTGTCCAAAGGAGGAGCAGGTGGAGGAGCAGGAGTCCCCAACCTCCTCAACACCATGATGGAGCTGAGGAAATGCTGCAACCACCCATACCTCATTACTGGTATAAACACACTTCCAGTAACTAAATTAAAGACTAACAATTCTGTCACAAATAAATCTGGGGTGTCCATCTCATTTAAGTTCAGGGGCCATATACACCTAAATCTGGTCTGAAGTGGGCCGGACCAGTAAAATCATAGGATGATAACCTATAAATAACAACAACTCCTTCCCTTTGTTTTAGTGCAAAAAATGTACATTCTGAAAATGTTCACATTGAATTAACTATATTTCTGCAGTTAATATCTTATCTGTCATTTCTACACTTTGCCAAGTCACTCCACTGGCCCTCTTGGACTCTCTGGTGGGCCAGTGTCTGTATGTTAGACACCCTTGGTCTACATGTTCCAAATGTTTCTCTGATGAGTTTCAATTGTCCTCCCATGTCCAGGAGCAGAGGAGAAGATTGCGGAGGAGTTCAGGGAATCCCACGGTGGCCGGGCAGACATGCCTGACATGGCCCTCCAAGCCATGGTGCAGGCTGCTGGCAAGCTGGTGCTCATCGACAAGCTGCTCCCCAAACTGAAGGCGGGGGGCCACAGAGTGCTGGTGTTCAGTCAGATGGTGCGCTGCCTGGACATTCTGGAGGACTACCTCATCCAGAAACGGTGAGGACAGAGACACGTTTCCTCAAAGGGTGCAGAGTGTAGGGATGACCCCATTTTAATCCTTTAACAAGAACGGGCTTCTGCTGATACACGGGCCAATCAGATGAATGACAGCTGCTGAGTTCACAAGATGCTCCCTGGGAAAATGTAAAAACATAGCAGCAGGAGAAATGTTGATGTCTGTAAAGATCAGCTGTAGCTACTCAGGTACTGACTCAAAGTATTGTAGGTCCTGGTAGGAGCTGCAACTATTAGTTGATCAACATCAAATTAATTTTCCAACTAATGGATTTATCTTTTCATTGATTTTCAGAGAAAAATAATGACTGGTTTGACATTACATTGCATTTAGCTGACGCTTTTATCCAAAGCGACTTACAATAAGTGCATTCGACCAGGAAGACACAACCTTGAAGAAAACAGAATCATATAAGTACATCAGGTTTCATAGAGCCAAACATTTCAAGTGCTACTCAACTGGCTATAGATAAGCCAGTCCTTTGTTAGTATATAAGAGCTCTGTTAGCAGTTCTTTGTTAGTAATTCAATCGCTCGAGGTAGAGTCGAAAGAGATGAGTTTTCAGTCTGCGCCGGAAGATGTGCAGACTTTCTGCTCTCCTGATGTCAATGGGGAGCTCATTCCACCATTTTGGAGCCAGGATAGCAAACCCACGTGTTTTTGCTGATGGGAACTTGGGTCCCCCTCGCAGTGCGGGTGCAGCGAGCTGTTTGGCTGATGCAGAGCAGAGTGCACATGCTGGGGTGTACAGTTTAACCATGTCCTGGATGTAGGAAGGGCCAGATCCATTCGCAGCATGGTAAGCAAGTACCAGTGTCTTGAAGTGGATTCTAGCAGTTACCGGAAGCCAGTGAAGCGAGCGGAGGAGCGGCGTGGTGGCGTGGTGTGGGAACATTTAGGAAGGTTGAAGACCAGACGAGCCGCTGCATTCTGGATGAGCTGTAGAGGTCGGATGGCACATGCAGGTAGACCAGCCAGGAGGGAGTTGCAGTAGTCTAGGCGTGAGGTGACGAGAGCCTGGACCAGAACCTGCGTGGCTTTCTGTGTCAGCTGGGGACGTATCCTCCTGATGTTGTAAAGCGTGTATCTGCAGCAGCGGGTTGTAGCAGCAATGTTTGCAGTGAAGGACAGTTTGTTATCTAGGGTCACACCCAGATTCCTTGCAGTCTGAGTCGGGGAAACAACAGAGGGGCCGATGTTGATTGTCAGGTTTGAGCTGCTGTAATGCATTATTAATGTGTTATTTTTGCGTCTTAACTTCAGTAAACTGAATGTATTTGCTTTTGGACTGTAAGTCAGATAAAACAGAAAAGATAATCACCCTGGTCTTCAGGGAACTTTGGTGGACCCGTTTCCTGATTCACCAAACAACAAATCGATTCATCAAGAAAATAAGGGAAATAATAATCCTTAACCCTCCGAGACCCACGGGACCGTATACGATCCCAAATATCACGTTGTGTTCAAAGCGTCATAACTTCTCAGCTGTTTGAGCCAGAGACATTCCCTGTGTTTCCTCTTAAACTACAGAAACGGCAATAAACAACTCTATTAAGTTTTTCATTGAGAGGCAGTGGCGTAACTATTAACGGTGCATCCGGTGCATTGCACCGGGGCCCACAGCCGTCCAGGGGCTCATGCAAAAAAAAAAAATGTGTATAATTATTATTTTTTTTTATTCATTTTTTTTTAATATTTTTTTTTTTTTTGGGGCCCCAAAGATATTTTTTGGGGCCCCAATGGCATTGACTGGTTCACGCAGTCTTCAAAGTAACCTAGCAACCTAAATTAATGTGTAATTTGTCTGTCCAATGACCATGCTCCCTTTCATGTCATGTGATACCTTGCGTGACGAGCGAACCGTTAAATCAACATCAAACGTTATATGTACTACATAGCTATAGCAGCAGCAAGATCGGCAGAATTATAACAAATTGAATAGCTAGCATTTATAATATACAGCAAACCAAAACACAAGAGCGGCGCTCAAAAGAGAAAGGACAAGAGAGAACAAGGAGATGTAAAGGCTAAACTGACAAAATTAGACAGTTTTTTTTTTGTCATACATCGTCCTCGAAATCGAACGCTAACGTTGGTAATGTTGACGTTCAGCGGCAGCCGGAGCCGGAGGCTAACGATAGCTCACCTGCCTCACCATCGTCTAGCTCCACAAGTGAAGCTGTATCCGTGGCTGTGCGACCTTCTTCTCCAGCCATGAGCCAGGAGGAGAGGATGGATTTGGCTGTGCCCGGCGGTGGTCCTACTGTTCCTGCAAGGGCCCCTTCCCCAACCGATAGGGGACTCTATGGCGCTATTGAGAGCCCCGACGCCAAGATCAAAGGCTATATTATAGCAACTGGCCCATTCCCCAGAGACACACATCAAGGAAACAGGTGTTTCTCCGAGATCTATTACACCACCACTACCAGAGCAGGTATCAAACTGCCACGGACATGGCTGTGTTACTCCCCCACCCTGGACTGTGCCTATTGTGAGCCGTGCTGGCTGTTCGCAGACCGAGGTGCACCGTTCTACAGTGATGCGTGGGTCAAAGGAGTTCGTGACTGGCAACATTTGTCTGCGAGGATTGACTCACATGCACAATCTCAGGTCCATGTCGGAGCGTGTGTCATATATGAACAGTGGAAGAAAAACGGGAGAATCGATGCAAACATGGAGAGGAATGCAAGGAATGCTGCTAATTACTGGAGACAGGTACTTGAGCGTATTGTCAACGTTACAATCACTCTGGCCACTTGTAACTTGGCTTTTAGAGGACATAGGGAGATTCTTGGACAGCAGTGGAAACTTTCTCAGTATGATAGAACTTTTAGCATCCGGTTCTGAAAGAACTTGTTGAGCGACCACAAGGTTCTGTGAAATACTTGAGTCCAGCTGTTCAAAATTAGATAATCTACATAATCGCAAAGCGGGTGCAGTGTAGGGGTTTCACAACTACCAATATTTACTAGTCGACGCGTTTTTCAAAATAGCAGTCGACTAGTCGTTACGTCATAATAAAGACACACAAAGAGAGGTGTACAACTGTATTTTATATTGGAACTCATACAGTTACATTAAACACTGCATTTTAATTTGTGTTACATGGCCGAGTAAATCACAAACAGTAACTGGACTTAGTAAATAACAAACAGTAACTGGACTCACCAAAATCGACAGCAAAAAACTCTGTTTACTGAAATGCCACGTAAATCAAGTGCGCATTGCGCAACACTTTACTCGCTATCCTCCACTATAACGTCCACCTTTCCAGGTTTTTGGTTTGCGTTGAGGAACACCAACGCATCGACATGTGAGGGAAGGAGGCTTGACCGCTTTCGGGTGACAGCGTTGCCTGCCAGGGAAAAAACCCTCTCACTCGGGGTGCCTGTGGCTGGAATAGCCAGGTAGCTCCTCGAAAGCTTGGCTAAACGGGGGACGCGGTGCGCGTTTTCTGCCCACCACTCCAGTGGGTTATCCATTGTGGGGATATGCGGTGTCCGCTGGCAGTAAACCCTAGCTCATCATCCGCATCACTGTAGACCCGTTTTTTCTTGCTGCTCGTCTGCCTCTGTCCTGTGCTGACGCCGGTCCGTTGCTCACTGGTGCTAGCATTACTGCTAGTGCTAGCTGTCGGCAGCGGGTGTCTCATCTTCAGATGGTTGCGCATAGCAGATGTATTTTTGTTGTACTTCAGTACAGCTGTACACAACTGATACTTCACTGTGGAGTTGGTTACATCTTCGTTGAAGTACTGCCATACATAAGAATGTCGGACGTGTTTTGAAGCATTTTGCAGCACCTCGTTTACCTCAATTTTTTTTACGACTAGTTGACTAGGGCCTACAGCGCCGACTAGTGGTAAAGGTAGTCGACTAGTCGATTAGTTGGTGAAACCCCTAGTGCAGTGCAACATTCAAGTAGAAATAAATAATGCTCCGTTTTTTTCTGTCATCATGGACACCACCCAAGATATTTCCAAAAGAGACCAAATTAGCCAAGTGTATAGATATGTGACAATCCAGAGGGATGAAAACGACAACGCAAAAGATATCCTGATAAACGAGGCTTTCTTGGGGTTCGTGGAAACAGTGGATACGTCAGCTCGTGAACTCCAAAAGAAAATCCTGGACAGCATAGAGAGTAACGGATTTCACCTGAGCACGTGTCGGGGCCAGGGATACGATGGCGCGGCGAACATGAGTGGGGTCTATTCAGGTGTGCAGGCCAGGATCATGGAGATGGAACCGCTTGCCAAAAAAAATATTTGCACCGGGGCCAATCACAACCTTGTTACGCCACTGTTGAGAGGCGTTTACTTATTTTGGTGAAACGAATGTGCGTAAAGTTTTAAAAGATGCGGCTAGTCTCACCTTGATTCTGGCGCATTGCTTATCGTTTTCTGTTTTATAGATCTATTCTCATTAGTGCTGGGGGGAAACGATTATTTTGAAAACGATTAATCGGGCGATTATTTGATCGATTAGTCGACTAATCGAATGATTATTTTTCTGTTGTTCAATTCATAAAAAACGTAATGTAAAAAAATTTTTTTTCACGATACTGTGTCTCAGGGGATCTTAATATTTAAGAACCTATTAATGTGTTATACCAGATTAACGGAAATAATCTCAGCTAACTGACAATACAAACCATGTTTACCAACACAAAACACAAGTCTCATAAGAAGCATCTAAATGACCCCTGAGCGAAAAATGCTAACGGACATTGGCACAGATCTCAAGATAAAAGTACCCTTATTACTTATCGTAGCTGCACATACAAGATATCCGATTAAAGCTGAGACTCCACAGATTATGTAGGTACATAGTATCATCACTGAGTGATCCGGACTCGCGACAGGGGAAGCAAATACAGTCATCACAACACGTACCTTCACAGAGCTTCTAGGGAGATCGTCTCACCGCCGTAGCTGTCAATCTGATCAAAATACGTGTTCAATGGCATTAAAATGAGAAACGCGGCTGAATCGGTTAATCCATAGGTTTTTAACGTCTATGTATAAAAAAATTATTGAATTTATAATCCATAATTCCATTTTAATGTAAAAATCGGAGAGCAAATGCTAGCTGCTAATGGTTGCCACCACAGCTAGCTGCTGCTTCCGGTCAAGCAGCAGTCTCAGTGAGATATAAATATATAAATATCTTTGCGTTTTGGACTAACTTTAAAATATTCCCATGCTTTTGAAGACCTAGGGCGAGATGTTTTCGTTTGAGGGCTTCGTGCGCAATCCTGTGAGGAGGAGTTGGTAGCCGTTTCAGTCTCCATTGTGTTAGAAGTGCGATTGCGAACTGCTTGTTGCTTTGGGTGACCCACGTGTGTGTGGCGTCATACAGTCTATGGTGTCGACGCGGAAATATGTCGTCGACGATATTTTGAAGTCGACGCGTCGCTACAGCACTAATTCTCATCCACGTAAAGAGTGTAAGAGTCACGTTTCTGAATCGGACACTCGGAGTGGATGCAGTCACAGCCAATCGGAGTCTGATTCAGAGGATTACCTGTCAGTTCCGTTGCTATGTGTACTGAAACGAGAGCCGGTATAATTCCACGCGCGAAAACAAAATAAAAGTTATTACGTTATATACGTTATTTTAGTGTCTTAAAAGTAGACTAAGGTATGGCAAGGACAACAAAATGACAATTCCTGGCAATTCATTAGTTATGCCCAAAAGAATGGGCATAACTAATGAACAGAATAAGTTAGAATCTTCTAATCAGTTCTGATACAATGATAATAAATGTGTGCAATGTTCCGTATTGAATGTTTCTTTCAATGTTATGGTTAGCAGTTATTTTTAATCAAATAAGTAAAAAGTTCAAGCTCCATTTTTATATATGGGCAAATATCCCCTATTATAGTGTATATAAGTCTCTAATGAGTGACATATATCATTAGCTGAGGTTGTGCTGATTTCTGGGATGTGTAAAACTTGATTATACTATAAAGAAATGACAATTTATAAGGCAAAACACAAAAATATACAAAAACGGAAATGTCCTATGTGGGTCTCAGAGGGTTAATACAAGTCATTATAAGTTGCACTTCATAGTCTTGATTAATTAGTTTGATATGATATAGTGTATCTGGGGGAATGTGACTCTATATGATAAGCTATAGAGAAGCTTTGGGACATCTCTCTCATAGTGTTGACTTTTCTGTCATGATGTCACTAAAATACCTCTCCTCCCATGCAGATATCCTTATGAGCGTATAGACGGCAGAGTGCGTGGTAACCTACGTCAGGCTGCCATCGACCGCTTCTCCAAACCTGACTCGGACCGCTTCGTGTTCCTTCTGTGCACGAGGGCCGGGGGCCTAGGCATCAACCTGACGGCAGCCGACACCTGCATCATATTCGACTCTGACTGGAACCCTCAGAACGACCTGCAGGTACAATCCTGACTCCCACATTTAGCTCTGCTCAGACACGTGCACAGATGGACCTCAAAGTGGGCTCGAGCACCTGTAGAAGCACACATAGTAGAAGCACACATAGTAGAAGCACACATAGTAGAAGCACACATAGTAGAAGTATATGAGCCATACAATATCAGCATCTGCCAGTAATTACTGAAGCATCTTGCCTGATGCCTTTATGGAGAAGGTGGTAAGAGTTTGGCTTGTTAACATGTGAGGAGAATTTACCAAAATGGACTTAATTTATTTATTACTTAAACTGTCACAAAAGTAGTTATCTTGGACATATTTTTATTTAAAAGTAACACAAATCGCCAGCTTGCCCTTTTATTCAGTTGGACCCTGCCCCTCTAACCTCCTCTGCACGTGACTGATTCTGCTTCACTGGACCATATAATTAGTCCTCTTCTGCAAGTCATTTATCTGACTGCGTCCTCTTCCAGGCCCAGGCCAGGTGTCATCGTATTGGCCAGTCCAAGGCGGTGAAGATCTACCGGCTGATCACCAGGAACAGCTACGAGAGGGAGATGTTCGACAAGGCCAGTCTGAAGCTGGGGCTCGATAAGGCCGTTTTGCAGAGCATGAGCGGACGAGAGAACAGCAACAGCGGGGTGAGACATCACACACACACACACGTCCAATACCCCATAGATAGCTTCAGGTGGATTTCTTTTGGACAGTGAATCTGTTCAGTTCACCATGAGTCAGAAAGCTATTCCAGAAGCTGGACAACTGTCTCCAACCCAGTTGTGATTTAACCAAGCCCACTTCCGCATGACGAATGCATCAACATAGCGTAACCCTTTGCGTGTTCATGCCAGGAAATATGAATTTCACAGCTACAGTCGCTTCATAGAGCATTTTTCTTCAAAGTAGATTGATTAAAAAAGCACTTTAATATGAAAGCATGAACAGTTGCGCAGAGCTGAGTAAATGTTAATTATCTTTTATATGAGTTCACCATGGATTTAAAAATAATAATCTAGCAAACAATATTCAATAGTTAATCTTTTGTTAGTCACATTGTATTATATGGGATACTCTCCAACACTGTCACAGGATTACAAATATTCCATTTACCCCGCGCTGTAAAGTTTTCGTTTTCTGGGCTGGAAAAACGATAGACCTTCACACCACGTTGTCAGACCACTCGTTCATCCTTTGTATGAAACCTACTGATGCCAAATAAGTTAAATTGATAGTTTAGTTCAAATATTTTCCGTCCCATGTTTGTGTGCTCTGACAACACTAAACTTTGTCATGGAATCCTTTGTTGTCGGAGTACAGCAGTTGTCCAAGAAGGAGGTTGAGGACTTGCTGAGGAAGGGAGCGTACGGAGCTTTGATGGACGAGGAAGACGAGGGATCAAAGTTCTGTGAGGAAGACATCGACCAGATCCTCCAGAGACGAACACACACCATCACCATCGAGTCTGAGGGCAAGGGCTCTACCTTTGCTAAGGTAAAACCTGAGCATGATCCAAGGACTACTGCAGTGAACTCTGCTTCCATACTCAGACATTATATTATCAGTGGAAGACGTACTCAAATCTGGTACTTTACACCTCTGAATTGTAGTGGGGTAAAAGTACAAAGTAGAAAAATGAAAAACTACCGTAAAGTACAACTATCTAAGAATTGTACTTAAGTACAGTACTTGAGTAAATCTACTTGGTTACTTAAAATCACGGATGTGAAGTTAATTACTGACCTCTTTCGTCTGCAGGCCAGTTTTGTTGCAGCTGGTAACCGAACAGACATTTCTCTGGAGGACCCAGACTTCTGGCAGAAATGGGCCAAGAAGGCTGAGCTGGACATGGACGCCATGAATGGACGGGTACTACAAAAACACACGCACACACACAAAATGTTAAATCCACCCAACAACATAAAGAAATGCTTCCTAATACTTGATTTAAAGTAAGGGTGTCCCGTCATAGAAAAGGGGACATGCAGTGGTAAGTAGTCGGTATCACCACAAGCTAGCAGGAGGTAAGAGAGATTAATATTGACAGTTGGGAATCTCCTCTCTTCCTTGATTACCCATGTTTCCCTGCTCTCGTGTGTGTGTTTGAGCGAGAGAGAGTAAGCTGCTTAGCTCCACTTAACGGAGCGCAGATGCCTGGAGGGTACAGAGATATCACTTAGACTACACACACACACACAGTTACACAAGCTCGCTCGCATTCTTACACACCCATTGAGTGCTCTGCTAACAGGCATCTTTATTTTCCCGCTCTATATTTGTTCACTTTTTGTATCTGTGTTTGTCCTCCTGGTTCTGTGTTCTCCTCCTTTGGAGGGCTCTCCAGCGGAACACTTAATCCAAATCTGCCAGCGAACAAGGGCTGCTCCCCTGGGATTTCATTGTGTGATGTTAAAATGGAAATGACTGCAGCCCTCTGTGATTATTGTGGAGCTAACTACCGCCCTGTTTGCACATATTAATGGGATTGCGAGTGGGAAAAAATCTAATTAATTGAACAAAAATCTAATTCATTAGACAACATAATTAATGGCAGTTGGTTTGAGCCAGGCAGAAATGTTCTCAGCATCAGGAATGAAACACGGGGCCAAACATCCAATTATTCAGATTCTGTACAGAAGATGCCACGGGGTTCACACTTGTCATAGAAGTCCGAATGTACATGATATGTACAAATAGGCCACTTCACAGGAAGGAAGCAGAAGGTGCTTTGCATATTGTTGTTGACAGATTTCAGGCCATCTGTTTTTTAAACCTGATTAATCAAATAAAATAAAAAGATTCCAGAAGGACAATGCATCTTGGCTTTCAAAAAACACAAACTAAATGTGCTCACTTAATTTGTTTCCAGAACACGCTGGTGATCGACACACCAAGGGTGAGGAAGCAGACCCGGCACTTCAGCAGCGCCAAAGAGGACGAAATGCTCGAGTTCTCGGAGCTGGAGAGTGAAGACGACGAACCGAGCCGACCCTCGTCCAAACCGCGACGGCCCCAAGACAAAGCCCAGGGGTACCCCCGATCTGAGTGCTTCCGAGTGGAGAAGAACCTGCTGGTCTACGGGTCAGTCACCACACCACACTGATGCACTTATCTAATCTAAAGACACCTGCTTTTTACCATGTCTCTAAATCATTTAACCCTGCTGTCATGTCCATTTCTCCTCCCTTACTGTGTTGTGGTGGTCCCGATCAAATTTGACCAGTCTGTTTGAACTGCTTTTTACATAAAAACCATTAATAATCACCACATTTTATTTAACAACTTTGTAGGCTGTAAACAATGTCTGACTACTGGTTTACATGAAAAAAAAGACACTTAAAATGTTTTCCAAAAACATTTAGTTTTGTGGGTGTGTATCTGATACTGTGGAGGATATCATAAGGCCTAAAAAACACCATTTTATGATTGATGAAAGTAGTTAAACGTTCAGATTTAACCCCAGCAGAAATGCCTGTGGATGATTTATATAATTGCATTAAAGACATAAAGAGGAATGTTTATTAACCTGTGCATAAGAGCGTGTTTTACTACACCATAGCAGCCTTTCAGGACATGGATGCATTATACTGCACACACACAGGCCAACTGACACACTTACCACATACAGGGATAATTGTGTGTGTGTGTCAGCGTTGTTATTGTTACAGTCTAGTCTTGTGGCCCGAGGCTGTAGGACACAAAAACACACTGTCTGACTGAGCCCGTCCTCTCGCTCAATGCGCTGTTGTCTTTTCCCATCATCCATCTCTCTCACTCACACTCATCCACCATTTTACCTTGTCTAAAATCATCACTCAGAGTAACACTGCGTCACATGGTTCACTGGAGATTTGGAAGCAGCCTTGGAAAAAATGTAGTCTGTGTCGGGAACCCTGTCCAGCGCATCAGCCTTTAGGATCGCTTACCCTCCATTAACACACACAGGGATGGCTGGGTGGCACTGGTTGGGCTGACAGTCACTCTTAGATCAAAACTCTGGTACATGTATGACCTTTGTGTCGGGCTGCAACTACAGATTATTTTCCAAATTAATTGTTTGGTCAATAAAATGTCAGGAAATGGTATAATGTCCATACCAATTTGTTAAAGACCAAGGGGATGTCTTAACATGTCTTGTTTTGTCAATCCAAATCCCAAAGATATTCAACTCTATAACTATAATAGAAACAAATCCAGAAATGTACATATATATTACTTGCATTAAAAATGACTCGATTACTAAAATAGGTTGAAAACTGATAATGCACTAATTGCTGCCGCTACCTTTTTTAAAATTAAAATCAGAACAATTACAATCGATTTATTTGTAAATAAATACATTATTTTCATTTATTTGCTTTGCTTCACAGATGAATGCACATTATATAATTATTATTTGTTGTTTAGTATGGTCTTTATATCATGTGCAATATGTTAATTAGATTAATCAAAACGTGGATCATTGGTTTGACAGGAAATGCGATATTTTCCCCGTATTTGACATGTTTTACTGCATTTGAATGAATACTATGATCTGGTAAACAAATACGGTATATCCACTAACAGGTTTTTGTTCTCCATATCTCTTTGCAGGTGGGGTAGGTGGAATGACATCCTGGCTCACGGTCGCTTCAAACGACCCCTGAAGGAGTCGGATGTGGAGAAGATCTGCAGAGCGCTGCTGGCCTACTGCCTGCTGCATTACCGTGGAGACGAGAACATCAAGAGCTTCATCTGGGACCTGATCAACCCCAGTGAGGACGGGACCACCAAGCTGCTGACCAACCACTCCGGTAACACACACTATATACACTGCATGCAGGGTTCGTACTGGTGCTTGAAATCCTTGAAAATGCTTGAAATTTGACGTGGTGTTTTCAAGTTGGGAAAGTGCTTGAATTTTGGGAATGGTGCTTGAAATTGAGATAAAGTGCTTGAAAATGTAAATGCTTTACTTTTACAATAAATTGCTGTCTGACTGAATAGTTCGCTTTTTAGATTAAAAGAAAATAATTGCTTCGCTTCTAAAACAGCTCCGCTGCGGCCTTCCCGCGCTATGCGCGCGACCTGCAAGTGTTTGTGTTACGTGTGACCTGGGCATTCTGATGAGTGATAGATGACTGTGTGCCAGGAGGTTGCAGTTTCAACGAGCGTTGGCTAGCAGAAGACAAATACAAGCCATGGCTAAGACGAGGGTCAAGCCCACGAGTAGCCTCCTGCAAAGTTTGCAAAAATAACGATGCGAGAGTCTGCGCTGACGAGCCACATGAAAGGTACGCCGTAAAAGAGCATTTTAGATTAGGCTAACGTTGCATGTTATGTTTGTTTAAGCTAACGTTAGCTAGCTGAATAGCGAACTCCATGAGGGATAATAATAATTGCAGGGGACAATCATTTCAGAGGAGCGTACCTACGTTATGTGCGTTACAGTCGCCATCGTGTGGTGTTCAGAGGATGAAGCACTCACGGCATTTCGTGTTATAGTCACGAAATATAATCTATTGATTCGACACAGAGCGATTTTGAAAGCAATGTATTTCTACTGGTAGTATGTTTCGTGCCTAAACCAAATGTGACTTGATCTATCGAAATCAGTCACATTGACCCGAAGACACATTTTCGTTTGTATTACTGGTCTGGGGGAAGCTCGCGTGTGTGTGTGTGTGTGTGTGTTTGTGTACCGGGGAAACACTCACAAGAAACACCGGCTGTTGTTATGCTTGCTGTGATGTTACATTAGTCCGTTCTCTGCTTGTAATTATGCCGAAGCTTCAAAGTTGTATTTATCATCTGAATTTGCAGAAACAAGTTTAATATTCTGAAAGCCAATACTTTGTTTATTTGAAAACAGATGAAAACAAACTGTCTTTTATATAAAATTGAAGTATTATACAAGTAAAACTCAGGGTTCGTACGGGTGCTTGAAATCCTTGACAATGCTTGAAATTTGACGTGGTGTTTTCAAGGTTGGGAAAGTGCTTGAATTTTGGGAATGGTGCTTGAAATTGAGATAAAGTGCTTGAAAATGTAAATGCTTTACTTTTACAATACATTGCTGTCTGACTGAATAGTTCGCTTTTTAGATTAAAAGAAAATAATTGCTTCGCTTCTACATAAAACAGCTCCGCTGCGGCCTTCCCGCGCTATGCGCGCGACCTGCAAGTGTTTGTGTTACGTGTGACCTGGGCACTCTGATGAGAGTGATAGATGACTGTGTGCCAGGAGGTTGCAGTTTCAACGAGCGTTGGCTAGCAGAAGACAAATACAAGCCATGGCTAAGACGAGGGTCAAGCCCACGAGTAGCCTCCTGCAAAGTTTGCAAAAATAACGATGCGAGAGTCTGCGCTGACGAGCCACATGAAAGGTACGCCGTAGAAGAGCATTTTAGATTAGGCTAACGTTGCATGTTATGTTTGTTTAAGCTAACATTAGCGAGCTGAATAGCGAACTCGATTGACGGATAATAATAATTGCAGGGGACAATCATTTCAGAGGAGCGTACCTACGTTATGTGCGTTACAGTCGCCATCCTGTGGTGTTCAGAGGATGAAGCACTCACGGCATTTCGTGTTATAGTCACGAAATATAATCTATTGATTCGACACAGAGCGATTTTGAAAGCAATGTATTTCTACTGGTAGTATGTTTAGTG